CATGAGATAAGAGTTGAATGCTTTGAAAAAAAATTATTCTTGGGAGATTGCTAAACTATATAAACAAAAGAAAATGATAGGATGCAGATGAAGTTTTTTTTTTTTTTTTTAAATATAAAACATATGGAAGCCTAGAATAATATAAAGAGAGATTGATTGCCAAATGATCCATTCAATCATATGGAATTCTACACAACTCTCTTTGGCCTATTGGTTGAGAGCTTAGGCTTCCAACTAAGAGGTCCAGGGTTCGAGTCTATGTGTATGCGTTGTGTGTGTGAGTTTGCCTTAAATGGCCTAAATGTCCCCCAAAAAAAAAGTTTAAAAAAAAATATGGAAATGACGATCAAGAATTTTTTACTCATTGTGAAATACCTCTCAAATTAATTTTTCTTGCAGCCAAAGATGGATAGTCTTTGCAGTAGTATGATGTAAAGAAGGCATACCTACATGAGGATGTTGAAAAAGAAGACTAAATGAATATTCCACTTAGATTTGATAGTTATTTCACAAAGAACAATTTTTGCAATTTAAAAAAAGCTCTATATAGCCTTAAAGAATCCTAGAGACCAAGGTTTGGTATATTTCCAAAAACCATGAATAAAGCTAGATACAAACAAAGTCCAAAATATCATGCCATCTTCTTAAACATTCCATTGATAGTAAAAATTTCAATTCTCATCATATATGTTGACGATATACTTGTCATAGGTGATGATAATAGAGAAATGAGGTCTCTCACGTGAAATTAATGGATAATTAGAATGAATAATATTAGGAAAAAAATGAATGCTCGAGAGAATTGATGAGCACGAGAATGGAATTAATAATTTCCCAGGAAAAGCACTAGCAAATAAAATGTTATGTGGTTAGGTAAGATTCACAAACGTATATGACAAGCAGAGAAATGAATATTCTAGTAGTTTATAGATAAATTTCATGATATAAACATTTGCACATGCTAAATGTTTTAGTCTTATTTTGTGTTAGTAGCTCTTTCTATCTGGCTATATTCCATTAATCCCTCTCATTTTTTTCCTAACATCTATTGATAAAAAGCTTCCAATAAGATAGAACCATAAATATAACAATAAGAATAAGATTACGAATAATGATATATATATATACAAGGATTTATTGGTTTCTTCTTCATTCTTTCATCCCTTCTCAGCATAGAGCTTTTTCCTCAACTACTTTATCAACACAAGTTGCCAACCATAACTATAATCTCTTTCCTTGTTTAACCATTACCCCAACTCTATGCCTTTGATTGCCACCTCTCTGGTTATTCCACCAGTCTCCACCAGATCATCACCAAATACCATGAAAACCACTGACCATCGAAGGGGTCGGGAACAGAGATCTCTCCATCCATTGGAAGATTCCTTTCAATTGTTGATTTTATATCCATATATTGACTTGTGTAGGAATTAGGTTAGGTGTGAACCTTATGTTTATACAACAAATTTTGACTCCAAATTTGAACATTATCTTTGCCAAAATCCTTTCTATTTCATAACAAAGATTTTGGTGATTTTATTTTGACTTTGAGATTAAGGTTTTTATTAGGATTAAATCTCCACAATTCTACCATCCCCTACTTAGATGTTAATTTGTGATGCGTTGTACGGAAAGAGATCATCTTTGTGTGATACTCCCTTTAATAAACCATTTGGGCTTTGTAGTGCCTTAGTTCCTTAGTAGTGCTAATAAATCCGTTTACCTTAAACTTTACTTTATTTTTGTTTTCCTTTATATCTTGAAATATCATTAGTTTTGAATGCTCTCCGGTTCTTTGCAAGCTCCCACATGATGAATGCATTAGCCCACTTTACTCCTTCATAGTAACTATGCAATTGATTTTGTAGTTTCCCCCATCGTTCTATCACCATAGCACCCTTGATCACCATCCAAATGTCAAGACAAATGGTTAAGACATAACCTCCTTCACTTTGTTGCCCAATCGATATCAAGTTTTTGTACAAGCTTGAAAGGTGTCTCACATTTTAGAGCTTACACATTGTCTCATTATTAGTATTGATTTATACATCACTAGCCCCCCGCCCCCATAATTTTCAAAGTTTCATAATCGAGAAGTTGAATCTTTATGCAATCTTCTATAGAATAGTTTATCATAAACTTTTTATATGGAGTGGAAAGAAAAGAAGTGCTTGAGTCTAGGATTAATAATTCTATAGGACTATCTTCATTAAAAACCAATACATTATATATATCTTCTCTTGCAACATTCACAAAGTTTTTAATTTGATTTGAACTCTGCCCACTACTCTGTAGCCAGTCTTGCTTTTCACCTGGCCAGTCTTGCTTTTCACCAGTAATTACCACTATAAACTTTGGATTGGCTGATCTATTGAGATTCATACCTACTCCTAGCATCCTCTTTCTCTACAATTCTTCCTCTACATTCAAGATTCAAAGCAAAAAAAGAACCATTTCTTGATTTCCATGGCTTGATGTCTGCACTCAAACTCAAGATCAGGTCATGGATATTATTGAGTTTTAGCTTTATAGACTTGTATGAAGTGATAATTGCCATCTTAATTTCAATCCAACTTTTTGAAAGTGATGATAACAAGCTCAAAGATGGTTTAAATTGATATCTATTGAGCTTAACTAACTTATGTTTTGATTGAACGCATTGGTATACAATGTGAATCTGTAATCACACTTGAAGCAGAACCCTTTTGCCTGTCTATCTTGCACCTCCCCTTCTATAAGGCGCTTGAAATTTCCTCCAGGAAAAACTCCAATGCTCTTCTCCTTAGGCGCTTCCCTCAACGACAACGTTCGATTCCTCGGTACTTGGGTCATGGGGGTGTTTCTGTAAGCAACTCCCATGGTTTTGGTTTTGCTGGCCTTCTCCCTTTGATGTTTCTCTTCCACTTTCTGTGCTAGCTCCATCGTCTCCCTCAGCCACCTAGGTCTCAACACCATGAGCTCTACTTGTGTGTCTTCCTTAAGTCCCTACATGAAATTCTCTTCCAATTCTTCCTCAACAATTCCCCTCAGCCTACCCGACAGCAGCTCAAATTTCTCCCGATATTCCATGACTGTCTCCTCCTGTGTTAAGGCATAGAACTGCTTGTGGAGGTCTCCTTCCCGAATGTCTCAGAAATGTTCCAACAAGCAATTCTTAAATTCTCCCCATGAATAGATCGGATACCTAGCTTCCCTCCACTCAAACCAAGCTAAGGCTTTTGCCCTCTAAACATGTTCCCGCCACCATGAGCTTTTCTCTTTCAGTCAGCACATTGATTGCGAAGTAACGCTTCACCCGATACACTCAACCTTGGGCATCTTCTTCTTCTTTGAAAACCAGTATTTTTAACTTGCTTGATCTCACATCCATACCCCAATGGTTTCTCTCTCGGTTGGTTCCTCCTATATAGTGATGGTGTGATTTCCTCCCTTCTTACTTTAGCAGATTGGGACCACAAGGCTCAGCCCAACCATAGCCTCCTCCGGCCCACCTCCCCCCATGCCTGAGTGGCCTCCCAACTGGGATCCCCTGGGGTGGTCCTTGAGGGTAAACACTCTCTACTTCATCATTGTCCTTATGAATTTCCTTTCCCTTGGATTCAGCCCTAGGAATCGCACTTGAAACTTTCGACTGCATCTCGATCATCTTCATCATCATATCTTCCAAGTTCTCGAAGCACTTCTCTGTGGATGAGAGCCTTTCTTCCATAGTCTTGAAGCGGTTCTTCTCCATCATATCTTCCATAGTTAATTAATTTTCCTCTCCTAATTGAATTTCAAATTCTAATTCTTTTCTTCCCTGATTCTCTCCTTATTCCTCCTCTCATAATGAATCTTAATGTTGTTGGGCCCCACAAGGGAGGCCGAATATCCCACCCCTGCACCGCACCGCCCCGCCCCGACCGGTCCTGGCTTTGGTTTGGCTCCTGGTGCACCATCTGGCCCCACCTGTTGAATCTGCCACCCTATCAGACTCTTGTTCATTCTTATTTAGTTTGATATTATTATTGACTAATTGAACGATCTAATGATGAAATAGTAACTACAGCCTATGTGTTATTTATCTTCTGTTGCCATCAGTCCTTGGTCTTGGAGCGTAAGTGTGTAAACCTTCTTACAGAGGTCTTCCTTTAAACACCGCACAAAATTCTATCAGTCAAATAAAAATATTAGAGCACAACATTCAAGAGACCCTGAAAAAGCTGTTATTTGACTCTCTGGATGGACATTTTCAGGTTTTTTTGGCTTTGATCTGGAGGTCAACAGTAAGATTTTAAACCTTCTTACAGAGGTCTTCCTTTAAACACCGCACAAAATTCTATCAGTCAAATAAAAATATTAGAGCACAACATTCAAGAGACCCTGAAAAAGCTGTTATTTGACTCTCTGGATGGACATTTTCAGGTTTTCTTTTTTTCCTGTTCTGTATGATTCACTTAACCTAAATCTCTTTTGTAGCGAACATTTTTGTGCCTGAATCTCTAACAAACAGGATTGCGCTTATGTAGTGTACTCTTTTATTCTTCCTAATTAGGTTCTTTTGTGCAGTCTGCCAAGTTGATGGTGTCATTTGAAACCTTTGATTATTTGTCTGGCAAACAATATTTGGCATCATGCGTGGCATATGTCCTATGTCCGATGATATATCAAATCTCTTCTTCAATATGGCATCCTAGAGCTAGCATATGTGCGACGATAGGAGTAAATGCATAAAATACCTTTTTCAGAAATCACTGTGTACCAATGGCTCACAATCATTTACGATCTTCACTTTCTGGTTACTCTTTCTTCCTTCTCTACTCTTTTTCACTTGACTTTCTCATTTTATCTATTCTCTGAACTCTAATTGTGGTAAATGATATATCCCGGATCATACTGATTCTAGTAAGCTTGGTTTAGAGTGAAACAATCATTTTGTTGGCAATGAGTTGTTCTTCTTAAATGTTTATTTAGTGCAATTTGCTCGGATTAATTTAGTTAAAGCTTAATCCATGTTATAGGAATTGCCCTTCAGAGTTGCTGGAGGCTGTTGCTAGCATCATCTTTGCTTCACCAAGGTGCTCAGATGTTCCAGAGTTATTGCAGGTCCGTAATTTGTTTACAACAAAATATGGAAAAGATTTCGTTTCAGCTGCTGCAGAGCTACGGCCAGATAGTGGTGTTAACCGAGCTGTAAGAAGCATTTCTTTCTTTAATACTCAAGAAAATAGATGAAGCCTCATGTTATTCATTTTCCTTCTTTGGGTTATGGATTCTTTGCTTTTATCTATATCCATTCTTTGTCTGAACTGTCCACACAAGTGATTATTATACTTCTTCTGCAGGTAATTGAGAAACTCTCGGTGGCAGCTCCACCAGTTGATAGAATACTTAAGGTTTTGAAGGAGATTGCTTATGAGCATAATCTTGATTGGGACTCATCAAGCACTGAGAAAGAATTTAGCAAAAAGCACGAGGACTTGCTGGTACCATTTTTGTCCCCACTTTATTTTTAATTAATCGTTTACTTATGCGAAACTTATCTTTTCTCGCTAATTAGTTTACATAAGAGGTTGCGAGTCCCTACATATTGATTGCTCAGTCATCACAGCTAACCCAGCATTTCATGCATGATGATTATTTTACTTGGTATTTAAACCTTTCAGAACATATTGTTTCACCATATTCATATGTTTTTTGGTTTTTTTTATCATCCTCTCACATAATCTTATTCTATAATTGATTCACTATGTAATATAAGCTATATATTAAGTCATAATGAGCAAGGATCCTCCCTATTACCTTTAGGCACTGTTTGGTTTGTAATAAAAGGAGTGTAAAGTAAAGTATTCCAAACATAGGAATTTTGAAAATATTGGTATTTGGTTTGAAGCAAAATAAATGCAATGAAATTTTGATGCATTTGGATTTCATCATCTAGTTCATTTTTTGTATTTTAAATTTCTTAGATTTGGGCGAATTCCAAATACACCAGAAATTCATTGCAATTGTCATTGTTGGCCGCTGCCACACCCGTTGGCAACCACCACCACTGCTGCTGCTGAGCACCACCACCGACCATCACCTGCCACCATCATCGTTGGCAGCCATTGCTGACCACCGCCATAGCCCATAGTTGCTCGCTCGCCACAACCCTCCAGTCATTGGCTACTGCACCGACCACCACAACTGCCAACCACCACCATAACCCTTCACTACCTTCGCTCGCACTGTCGGCCACCATTGGTGCCCGCCGCCTAGGAGCACCAACACCCACTGTCAACCACCACCATCATCGTCGGTCATCACCATCACCGGTCACCACCATCGCTACCGTCATTTCCAACCACCACGTGCCGCCACCTTCCACCACCGCGATCGCGCTGGCCACCACCACCACCAATGTTTGCCACCTACCACCACCTATTTTACACTTTACTTTGCATTCATTTTACTTCATACTAAATAAAAAAATAATAATATTATGCATTCATTTTATACTTATGCAAACAACTCCAAAGTATTCCTTTTATATTGTATTCTTGTTTTAGCTAACCAAATAACGCCAAGGAAAATGGAAAAAAACATTTAGCTTGGAATGAAGCATTTCTCCATGTTTGATAACTTATTTTTTCTTTAAATTTAAAGTTTATATCGTGATAAGGAGTAGGGGTCATTTTAGATTTTGATGTCCTTCATTATTAAATAAAAAGAGGCCTTCCAGAAACTGTCAGGAGATATTAAGATTTTTTTTAAAAAAGTTTTAAGATGATAAAATAATAATAGAAAATATGAAAAGTATGAACTTAAAACTTTGTTTTTCATAAGATTAATTAATTAAAACTTAAAACTTTATTTTTCATAAAATTAATTAATTAAAGGTATGAATTACTTACAATCGAGTTGAAAGTTGATAAAAACAAACAGAATTAAATCAGAATTAGAACATACAATTTGTGATGACAATTCTAATAAGGATAATTAAGAAATTTTTCTTTGAAAAAAAATCATATCACAAAATTATTATAATGTCACCGACAATTAATATTTTTTTACTACAAATTAAAATACTTGTCATACACTATATGTTTCATTCCCGTAGATAGGCTGTTTTTTTATTATATAACTGTATTAAATTAAATTTTACACTTTAAATAGTCCATAGAACCAACAAAATAAATTTACTAAAAGCCTAAATCATTTTATATTTTATCATAACAAGAAAAATAATTTTAATTTCGTATGTTATATTCAAATAAATTATTGACATGAATCCCTTTTAAAATGATGAGCTTTTTTTTTTAAATAATAATTTTTTACAACTGAAATATTATAGCTATAAAATTCTTAAATAAAAAATTAGTTATATAAATAGCACAATTCTACAAACATTGAAAAGTTTTTAAAAATTAAGTTACAACTAAACAACAACATGTAAAATATATTAAGTTCTATCCCATTAATTAATTAAAACCTAACTCAAAGTTCAAATAAAATGAAAAAAAGGTTAACCATATTAATGTAAGTTGAAAGTCAAATAAAAAAAAAAGTATAAATTTCATATCAAAATCAACAAATAGTATTAATCAAGAGGTATTAAATAAAAAGCTAAAAAAAGCAGTATAAACTACAATCAACCTTGGAAAATAACAAAACAAAGCAATGAATCGAAAAGGGAAAATTTTCATACAAGCACACACACACGAAATAATCATCAAATTGATCTTAACATGCATTAGAAGAGCTATAATTTTTGCAATGAAGTTCACCAAAAAGAAGCCAATCAAATGAGATGAATATATTAAGTTTTTAAAAGCCATCTTGCTTGTAGTCAAAATTGAATATAGAAGGAATTAATCAAAATTACCTTAAACAACAAAGCTAATATGAGAAGAGGATACCTTCACATGAAGACGTTCAAAGTCTTCAAGGGAGACAAAGAGATAGTAACGATGCAAGAGATCTTCATGGGAGACAGAATTAGCAATGGTGAAGACAAAGAACATCAACAAAGAAAAGAATCAAAAAGGAAAATTTTTCACACGGGAGCACACCTATGAATAATTGATAAGCTGATTTTAAAACGCAAAATAAGAGCTATAATTGCAATAATGAACTTAATAAAATAAAAATCAATCAAATGAGATGAATATATCAAATTCAAAAAGTTATCTTGCTTGCAGACTTGCAGTCAAAACTGAATATAGAAGGAATTAACCAAAATTATCGTAATCAACTAAGCTAACATGAGAAAATGATACGTTCACATGAAGATGTTTTAAGCTTTCAAGGGAGACAAAGAAATATAGCGACGGCAAAGGAGATCTTTAAGGGAGACGAAGATAGTTTAGCAATGATGAAGATGATGAACTTCAAGACAAAGCAATGAATCGAAAATGAAAAATTTTCATATAGGTACCCACATACAAATAATTGATAAAATGAATTTAAAATGAAAAAGAAGAGCTATAATTTTAAAAATTAAGTTCATAAAAAAAAGTCAATCAAATGAGATGAATATACCAATTTCTAAAAGCTATCTTGTTTGCAATCAGAACTAAATATAGAAGGAATTCACCAAAATTATCGTAATCAACTAAGCTAATATGAGAAGAGGATACTTTCACATGGGAGACAGATGATGGTGAAAGAGATCTTCAAGGGAGACACAGAGAGTTTGTAATGTTGAAGATAAAGGAACTTCGAAAATAATAATGTATATGTTTAATATTGGAAGGTTTGTGAATTAAAATAAGATATGGGAATACAAAGAGTTGAGAAGCAAATATATGCTTAGGATTTAATTTTGGAAAAATAATAAAAATAATTAAACCTCTGAAAAAGTCAATAACATCCTATGTTGCACGGATACGCCTATTTATGAGGCATGTTGTATCGGACACATGTCGGATACGGATACGCCTCTGATATGGCACGGATACGTGTCGGATACGGCTTTGCCGTGTCCAATTAAAATATTATTTAAATTTGATCGGACACGCGTATTGTACATGCGTATCGCTTGGTACTCAGTACTGCTCAGTACTCGGTACTGCTCAGTACTGCTCGGTACTGCTCAGTACTGCTCGGTACCGCTCGATACCGAACGATACTAGAACTCAGTACTGCTTGGTACTCAATACCGCTCGGTACTGCTCGGTACCGAGCGATACTAGTACTCGGTACTACTCAGTACTCAATACCGCTCAGTACTTAGTACCGCTCGGTACTACTCGGTACCGCTCAGTACTTAGTACCGCTCGGTGCCGCTCAGTACTGCTCGGTATCGCTCGGTACAGAGGGGTACCGAATGGTACCAAGCAATGCTGAGAAGGTAGAGAAAACTTTAAAGCAACAATTACAATAAAAATTTATTCCGGGGGCAACCCGGAAACCTCCGCAGGGGCGTTTCCCCTTGACCCCGTGACCTGACCAGGCAGGTCGAACCCTGCCAGGGGGCAGTGCCCCCTTGGCCCCCGGCATAGGCGCAACATATCTATACTTTTTATTAAAAAATTTCATGTTTCAAATTCATGTAGATTAATTGTGTCGATCATTCGTACTTTTAATTAAAAACTTCATATGCTGGACAATTTATGGGTACTGCTTGGTACCGCTCGGTACCACTCGGTACCGGTCGGTACTGCTCGGTACAAAGGGGTACCGAATGGTACCAAGCAATGCCGAGAAGGTAGAGAAAACTTTAAAGCAACTCTTACAATAAAAATTTATTCTGGGGGCAGCCCGGAAACCCCCCAGGGGCGCTGCCCCTTGACCCCACGACCTGACCAGGAAGGTCGAACCCCGCCAGGGGGCAGCGCCCCCTTGGACCCCCGGCATAGGCGCAACATATCTATACTTTTTATTAAAAAATTTCATGTTTCAAATTCATGTAGATTAATTGTGTCAATCATTCGTACTTTTAATTAAAAACTTTATATGCTGGACAATTTATGTTTTGGTTGTTGTACTATACATTTAAATATTTAATGCTTACTTCTATTTTAATATTATAAGATACAATGCTACAAATGATGTTGCTTTCATTTTTTTTGTCATTTCAAATATTATGCTTTGATTAATTTGTTATTTTTATGTATGATTTATATATTATAATGATGTATCCGCACCGTATCCATATCTTGTATTTTTAAGAATTGTCGTGTCCCACATCCGTATCGTGTCGTATCAGTGTCGCCTTATCCGTATCGGTGCAACATAGATAACATCATATATTCATATTGACCATACTTACCACTTCTATAATTCAAATGCTTAAATATCCAAACATAAAATTCATTACCTGTAAACAATCCAAATTATTGCATTCCATAGTCAAATTCTATCATATCAAACTTTCTATTATGCAACATTTATATAAGACTTTTCATATTAATACTGATTAAAAAGACCAATCAACATTTGGCTTGTTAACTGATAAAAATAATTTTATGACAACTCCTTAAAACTTCAAGTATTCAAAATG